CTACTGTCTACAGGACGTAAGTCAGGTGTGTGATGGAATACTCCCCACTTGCCTGGATGAGTGCAGCCCCAACAACACTCAAGAAGCTTGACAGAATCCAGGACAAAGCAGCCCGCTTGATTGGCATTGGATCCACAAGCATTCACTCCCTCCACCACCGACACTCAGTATGCAGCAGTGTGTACAATCTACAAGATGCACTGCAGAAATTCACCAAAGATCCTCAAATAGCACCTTCCAAACCCATGACCATTTCCATCTCGAAGGACAAAGGCAGCAAATATATGGGAATACCACTACCTCCAAGTTCCCCTCCAAGCAACTCACCATCCTGACTTGGAAATATATCAGCATTCCTTCACTGTCACTGGGTCAAAATCCTGGAATTTCCTCCCTAATGGCATTGTGGGTCAACCTACAGCCGGTGGACTGTAGTGGTTCAAGAAGGCAGATCACCACCAACTTCTCAAGGGCAACTAGGGACGGGCAATTAATGCTGGCCAGCCCCTGATGCCCACATCCCACAAAATGAATAAATTAAAAAATGATCCTCTTGGTCCATGTTACATCTTGACAACCTGAAAATTATAGCATCGTCTACTCTGTGAAACAGAGGCAGAAATTTCTGGAGAAGTGACCCTTCATTAGAGCTGAAAACAGCTGGGTAAGGATGGTCTTTATGCTGATGATGGGGTGGAGGTGTGAATATTGCACATGGAGCTGGAGCCCAGAGAAAGAGAAGAAAGGGGCTGGCTAACAAAGAGGTTGCTGAATAAGAAGTATAAACCGTTGAAAATGGATTGGCTGTGCTGGGAGCAATACCCAATACAAAACAGGTCTGTGGTGTGTGTAGGAAGGGTACAAAACATAAGAACATAAGAATCAGGAGCAGGAGTAGGCCATCCAGCCCATTGAGTCTGCCCCACTATTCAATAATATCATGGCTGATCTTTTTGTGGACTCAGCTCCACTTACCCGCCCACTCACCATAACCCTTAATTCCTTTCCTGTTCAAAAATCTATCTATCTTTGCCTTAAAAACATTCAACAAGGTAGCCTCAAATGCTTCACTGGCAACTGGAACCTCAGGGTCCTTTTTACTTATAAAACGTAAGTGTTCAATAAAGCAATCACCCGGTCTGGATTTCATCTCCCCAAAGTAGAGGAGACCACATGTGAGCCGCAAAAACATGAGATGAGATTGAATGAAGTGCAGGTAAATTGTTGCTTCACCTGGAAAGTGTGCCTGGGGCCTTGGATGGTGAGGAGAGAGGAAGTAAATGGGCAGGCGTTGCACCTTCTGCAGTTGCATAGGATGAATGGAGGAGTAGACCAGGGTGTCCCTGAGGGAACAGTCCCTGTAAAATGCTGACAAGGGAAGGGAGGGGAATGTATGTCTGGTGGTGGCATCCCACTGGAGGTAGTGGAAATGGTGGCTTATGATCCTTTAGATACAGAGATTAGTTGGGTAAATAGTGAGGACAGGGGGACCCTATTGTTATTGAAGGAGGGAAGGAAGGGGGAGGGCAGAAATGGACACAGCTAAGGGCACACAGTGAGGGGATTCATTGTTTGAGGAAAAAGATGGACATTATCATAACAGATGCAACGGAGATGGACAAACTGAGAGAATGGAATGGAGTCCTCAGAGGAAACAGAGTGTGAGAATGCATAGTTCAGGTAACTGTGGGAGTTGGTGTATTTATATTGCATATTGGTCACCCTATCCCCAGAAATGGAAACAAAAGTTGATGAAAGGAAGGAAAGTTTTTGTTTAAGCGTACTGTCTGTTTGCTATTGGTTAGCCATTCTTCTGTACATGCCAATTTGCTACCCACTGCATCATAAACTTTTCTTAAAACTTGTTCTTGGGACATGGGCATGACTGACAAGGCCAGGATTTATTGCTCATCCCTAATTGGTCATAGAGCAGTTAAGAGTCAACCACATTGCTGTCTGTCTGGATTTACATTGAGAGTAAGAGCTTTTTCAAATATGTAAAAAAGAACAGAGAGGCAACAGTAAACATTGGACCCTTTGAGAATGAGGGTGGGGAAATAACAATGGGGAGCCAGGAAATGGCAGAGGAGTTCAGCAAATGCTTTGTGTTGATCTTCACATTAGCAATCCAAAATATATTAAATAATGAGGGTGCCAAAGGCTGGGCGTTGGCAGGGCATGGTAAGGAAATAATTATCACAAGTACTGGGAAAACAAATGGGGCTAATGACAGATAGGTCTCCTGGACCTGATGTGTTGCATCCTAGGATGTTGAAGGAAGTAACTATAGGGATAGTCAATGCACTAGAAATAATCTTTCAAGAATCCTTGTTTTCTGGCAAAGTCCTATAGGATTGTAAAAATGCTCATTTAACACACTTACTCAGATGAGGAGAGAGACAAAAACAAAATCAACTATAGGCCAGTGAACTTGGCATGTGTGTTTGGGAAAATATTACATGCTATTATAAAGAATATATGAAGCTTTAAGAAATGCATAATATAACCAAGCAGAGTCAACATGGCTTCATGAAGTGAAAATCATGCATGATGAATTTATTACAGTTCTTTGAGGAGGTAACAAGCAGGGTAGATAAAGGGAAAGCAATGGATGTAAAATATTTGGATTTCCAAAAAGGATTTGATAAGATACTATGAATAAGGCTATATAATAAGAGCCCAGGGTTTTGAGTTAGTGTATTAACATTTGTAAAGGATTGGTTAACTAAACTAAATCCACAGGGGATAGCAGCACGAGCCTCTGGCAGGTAACACAAAAATGCAGATAGCGGTATAACAGAAACTCGCTACCTACCATGAAAGACTGCACAACCTTTCACTTAGGAAAAACAAATCGAGTCTGGGGCCAACCTTGCGAGTATGTGGGTCTGTGGGTAGCAAATCTGTATATAATTAGAAGTGAGGATAATCAAATGTGAGCGCAATTGAGATTTGATGTAAATGGGACATTTTCTGGATAACAAACAATATCTACTTGAGTGCCACAGTGATCAGTACTGAGACCACAAATATTTACAATATATATTAATAACTTGGATGAGGAAAGTGAATGTACTATCACCATGTCTGCAGAATTCACAAAAATAGGTGAGAAAGCAAGTAATGAGGATGACACAGAGGGATATTGAGAGGTTAACTAAATGGGCAAAAAATTTGCAAGTGGAATATAATGTGGGAAAACACGAGGTTATGAACTTAGGCAGAAAGAATAGAACAGCTGAAAATTATTTAAAGAGAAAAGACTACAGAAATCTGGTATTTGGGGATCCTCGCACATGAATCACAAAATGCTAATGTCAAAATTTAACATGTTATAATGAAGGGAATGGAGTATAAAAACAGGGTCTTGCTAAAACTAATACAAGGCACTGCACTGATCACAGCTGAAATACAGAGAACAGTTCTGGTCTCCTTACCCAAATAAAGATATTTCGGCATTGGAGGCAGACTAGAGAATGTTTAGGTTGATCCTGGGAACAAAGAATTTTTCTTACAAGGAGAGATTGAGTAGGTTGCACTTGTACTCATTGGAGTTTCATATAATGAAAGCAGACCTTATCAAAACAAATAAGATTCTTAGGGGGCTTGATGGGGTAGATTTGGAAAGCATGTTTCCTCTGTGGGACAGTTTTGGACCAGAGAGCATAATCTCAGAGGAATCACCCATTTAAGTCAGAGGATGATTTTTTAAAAATCTCTCAGACAGTAGTGACTCTGAATTCTTTACCACAGAGGGCTGTCAAACTTGTGTTGATTAGGATAGTCAAGGTTGAGAAAAACAGATTTTCTAATCATTAAGGAAATGGGGAAATGGCAAGAAAATAGAGTTGGCACAGTGGTTAGCACTGAATAAAAACAAACGCATACTAAAAACCAAGCTGCAATATGATGGCTCAATGGTTAGCACTGTTGCTTCACAGCACCAGAGGCCTGGGTTTTACTCCACCCTCGGGTGACTGTGTGTGGAGTTTGCACATTCTCCCTGTTTCTGCGTGGGTTTCCTCTGGGTGCTCTGGTTTCCTCCCACAGTCCAAAGATGTGCAGGCTAGGTGGATTTGCCGATGTTAAATTGCCCCTAGTGTCCCGGGACGTGCAGGCCAGGTGCATTAGCCATGGGAAATGCAGGGTTACAGGGATAGGGTGGGATGCTCTTTGGAGGGTTGATGTGTAATCGATGGGCCGAATGGCCTGCTTCCACATTGTTGGGATTCTATGATTTTCAAATCAGCCAAGATATCATTGGATGGCAGAAAAGACTCGATGGGCCCAATGGCCGACCTCTGTTTCTAAAATTCTAGTTCCTGATTTATTGCTGCTTCTGGGATGTTATTCATAGTGAAAGCTTTCACCATACTATTTTTTAATCCACTAGAGGGCTCACAAACTCCACGAATGGAGAGAAACGTGTTCCGAAGAAGATGGGAGTGGGACATGTTAAGATCTGTCCACTATTTGTAATTCAAAAGAAACGATTGGATAGATAAAGACAGAAGCTTGTTTTCTTTGTTTTGTCCGTCTCGGCTTTAGGTTCACTTTGACATCGGTGGCATTAAAAAGTCTAGTAAGCGTGGAGCTGCTGGTAATGAAACAAACTGCAGCAGGAAAGGGCGATTCTTTTGGTGTCTGCAAGTAACAGCTGCGAGAAAGTGCTGGAGAAACTCAACAAGTCCGGCCGCACCTGGGCAGAGAGAGAGGGAGACAGAGACAGAGTTAGCGTTTCGAGTTCTGATATGACTTCTCCAAAACTGGCAAGCAGAGACGTGCAAACAGTCACATCTGGGTAGAAGTTGTGATGCACGGGGAATCGCTGCGCTTCTTGCGAACGCTAAATGCAAGCAAGAGGATCCGGTCACAATTATTGCTTCTGAAACCTGGGCGAAGCTGCGCCCGATCTTGCACACACCGCTGGCTTTGCAACTTCCTCTGATCGGGGATGTGCCCTAATGTCTTTCTTATAGGAGGCATTCTTTGAATAATAAAACCGCGGTCAACTTTACCGAACACTCTGGTGGATTGTTCAGCACCATGCGCTTTTGTAAACATAGTGTATTTTTGTTTTTGTTTTCAAAACAAGGCATGCCATCGATGATCAGCAGTAGCTCAAACTGAGGTTGGTGGGGTCTGGCAGTTATGCAGAAATACAGTGAATATGACAGATAACGGCACAGTCCTGTCGCCCGGGCGGGGCGCTGCTCTCATTCCAAGGAATTGCTTTGTTAATCGGCAAAGGAGAGACAACGGAAAGCAGGAGAAGTTCCCATCGTGACTTCCTAGTTTGATGCAGCGCCTATGTCTCTGCTGGAGGTGGGGATGGGGTGAGAGAGGGAGCGAAAAAAAAGCACAGTCAACCCTCTTCTTTCAACTTGTTGATTTGCTGAGATCCAACGTCACACACACACACACACTCCCCGACTCAAACCTCTTCCTCCTACATCTGCTATTTACATAAGGCAGCAGTGCACTGGCAGTAGACAGTGTGGAGTTGGTTGGGAGGGACGGGGAATAGAGGGGAGAAAAATAAAAACCTCGCTCTCTCTGTCTCACGCTCCCTCCTTGGAAATGGCTCTGGCGGACAGCCTGTGCGATTTAGCGGACGGAGAGTCTCCTTTCCCGGCCGTGGTCGAGCTGAACGTGGGCGGCCAGGTCTATGTGACCCGCCACCGCACCTTGGTGGCGGTGCCGGACTCCGTGCTCTGGGACATGTTCAGCCGCAGCTCCCCGCAGCAGCTGCCCAAGGACAGCAAGGGTCGTTTCTTCCTGGACCGGGACGGCTTCTTATTCCGCTACATCCTGGATTACATGCGGGACTTGAAGCTGGTGCTGCCCGACTACTTCCCGGAGAGGAGCAGGCTGCTGCGGGAGGCGGAATACTTCCAGCTGCCGGAGCTGGTCCGACTGCTAAGCCTACAGGTGGAGCAGCCGAAGCCGGTCAGCGAGGAGAGCTGGCCGGACCCCGGGAGCAAGGGGCCGCCTTGCAGCGCCAAGCCCCGCCTGGCCACTTCCTCGACTTCGATCACGGTTCCCCCCAGCCCGGCCAGCTCCTCCTCAGATAGCTGCCCCCCGGCCAGGAGGTCCGGCTACATCACCGTCGGCTACCGGGGCTCGTACACCATCGGCCGGGACTGCCAGGCGGACGCCAAGTTCCGAAGGGTGGCCAGGATTACCGTGTGCGGGAAGACGTCTTTGGCCAAAGAGGTCTTCGGCGAGACCCTGAACGAGAGCAGGGACCCCGACCGGCCCCCCGAGAGATATACGTCCCGTTACTACCTCAAGTTCAACTTCCTGGAGCAGGCGTTTGACTTATTGGCGGACGCTGGCTTCCACATGCTGGCGTGCAGCTCCACCGGGACCTGTGCCTATGCCAGCGACCAGGGAGAGGACAAGATCTGGACCAGTTACACCGAATACGTCTTCTGCAGAGGGTGAATCCATCAGGACCAGGAAAAGAGCGACCCTTCCCTCATTGTGCCGTGTTGCCTATCCTGTTTGAAGGAGCTGGGGGGAGAATTATGTGACTAGTCACCACGTCGGAACGCACCTTTATCTTAAACCTTTTCCTTTGTGTGAGTACTATAGGACAGTGTAATGAGGCCATCAGCGGTGTGGTTAAGACTTTCAGCAGGTATTGCCAACTGACGATCCTGACACAAGCAAAACCGTGTAACAGCTGAAAGAAAGTGTTGCTGCTGGAAGCTATGGTTAATTAGAAGCAATCCATTAGCACGGAGCGGTAACATTTAGTTAATTTTATTCTACTGGTATGGAGGTGCACAGCAAGAATAAATGTTCCATGCTCAGCAGTCTCCCTTGTTTAATTTATTACAAGGTGGGTTCTGTAGTCACTAACTTCTCCACCAAGTCTCTCGGGACGGTCGCCTTTCGGGTATAGCTGTTCAGGGGATAGAGGCAGTGTCCGGAGGTGCCCCATGATCGGCGTGGTAAATACTACAGGCAACTGCTTACCATTCACTATCGTATTCTGTTTACACCCCTATTATAGTACAAAAACTGATGACATAAAGTTTTTAAAAAAAGGAATCTTTCGATTGTAAATTACAAGCACATTGTTTATAAACACGCAAAAGGTAATCTTGCCATGTTGTGTTTAGCGTGGGCTATTTTATAGACTTGCAGTGCGTCTCACCAATTGCCTGAACTAGCTGTAACCTCTCTCAAAAGTAGTCTGCCATTTTGGAAATAACATTAGCAAAGATTAAACCTTCAACACTATAGACAGAGATTATCAACGTTGGTAATAGTTTTAAATAATTCTGATTCGTTGTCCTTTAAACATGATCTTGCCTAAGTTTCCACATTTTCTTTTCCTTTTGCTGAAAATTACTGCAGAACTGAAGTTATTTTGTGTAGGAGTGAAAAAAACTTTCCATCCTTAGAGCAGGAAGTTTCCCTTCCTCATTGAATGCTTGCTATAGATGAAAGATATCACAAAAGAGCTCAAAAGCTTGCATTACAAATTATATTATTCTTTCAGCCATTGGTTCTATTGAATTCAGCTAAGTAAATCAGCCCCATTGGGTTCTCATCAGTAGTATTTAGAATAGTAACTCTAAAGTCCAATAATGCACTAGTTTGGTGTTTGGAGCCTACTTTTTCTAACTTGTAAAATAAACAGCAAAATATCGTGTAGTGTATCAAACTAAAGACCAGAGAAAACTATACTGCCCAGTCCTTGAAAGGTTAACAAAGGACTGGTAATAAGTGGAACAAGAAGTTTAATACAATAAGTAGAAGACAGTAGATGGTTAGGAACCAGAAGTTTGTTGTGATAAGTTAGGATGTCAAGTGGAATATAAATTGGAAGATTTCAGAAACTAGCAAGAGAATTCTGAATTCTTGTAGAATTACAGTTATCTGGAAATCAGCATCATTTGGAATAAACATTGCTTTTGTATCAGTCACAAGCTTTTCTTTCATGGTCAGCTTTTCTTTCCAATGGTCTTCTTATCCATTGGCTACTGTTGTATTGACACCTTGCTGGGCTTTGATTCAATAGCTTTATCCAAGTGACCATTGCTCATCAGCAAAGCTCAGTAGTGACTGTTAACAGTCAAGTATGTATGGGGAGGGCCAAAGTGCATATCACAGTAGAGTTAGAGTGACCGACTCAGAAGCAACCATGGATTAAGTTTAAGACTTTTACTTGTTCGTGATTCAGCTGGTAAGTGGATAATCTCAAAATCTGCAATCACAATCAATAAACCTTATCATCAAATTTGATATCACTCCTGGCAAATCCACACATCCAGCATTTTATGATTGGCGGTTAAAATTCTGAGATGTTCCTACCAGCGTTCCAAGTCATGAAAACCTGTAAGATTTACACCTGATTTTATGGTAAATCTCAGTAGTAGTGTTAATTTAGTTTTCCCGATTAATATTTACACACAACATGAAGGAATACCATGAACTCAGAGGCTGTCTACAAGCTCACAGTCAAAATACTTTTGGCTTCCATTCAAGAATAGCATTGGTAAATGTACTGAAATTGGCCTAGTTATGACCTTTTGAAGTATGATTCTCCAGATAGATCATTATTAACCGCTAATCAGTAACATTTTAAAATATCAAAATCTATTTCACAGCAAAGAGGGAAATCCAGTGTGTTATTAAAACGGATTCTGTTAGAGTGGTGCAATGTCAATTCAGTTGCCAGCTTCATTTCTGACATTGTTCCTTATCTTAGCTGAGTTGTGTGGGAAGACACCAAACGGAGGGCCACAGAGAGAGAAGGATGAAGAACTATTCTCAGGCATCACCCAAATAACTGCTGGCAAAATGGCGTTGATAGAGTTATTAAGTCTAGTCATTTGCTTTTCACAAGTTATTGTGCAAGGAGTACAGACCAAACAGGAAGGGTGAAATGAAAAAAAAATCATACTAATAATATTTCACAATTTGCACACAAACTACAATCATTACAGACAAATAATGTGACAGTGATAAACTCAGTGTAAATTACATGCTGCATACAGTTATTAACAGTTTCAAAACTGTAAGGTGCAAAAATGTACTGTGGCAGTTGTATCTTCAAAGTTATCTGAAATAGTTTAATTTGTAGCATTTAACAGACCTATATTTTCACTATCATTGATTCTTTATACACAGTAACTTGTGAACAACAGACTGGGAATCCAAAGGTACTATACCTTTAAAACAGTCGCTGTAAATGTCTTGTCTAATTCCCACAGATGCTGTGGAACTGGAGAGAATGACCTTTTTATTTGCAAAGCAGACAGTGCCAGGCTAGGTGAAATGTGTGATCAACTGTTAAATGCTTATTTGCTGACATATTTGTTTAATAATGTTTAACAATGTGACAAAATATAAATCAATTTCTAGATCCTGTCATGCAGATAGGAAGGACGCTCATTAATCAAAGGGTGTTCTAAAGCAGTAACATTTTGATTTTATTCTGGGCTTTGAGTGACTGTGAACCATGTGGGTTGGCAGAAATTTCAACGTAATGGAGAACTTTGTCTTAATCTGAGACAAGTCATTGCTACACTCATAAGAGAAATTGATAATTGTTAGTCAAACAACAATTCTGATTTATGTTGACGATATGACAAAGGCTGAACTTTGAGTCATTCATTGGTGTTTGAAGGAACAGAGACACTGTAACAAAGCCATACCGTTTTAAAAACTACAATGCACAATGTATCTGCTAGATCATTACAATTTAATAATTAAACTGTGTTACATAAATTAAACATCTCTGTTGTGTCTTCTGTTTCAACTCAATTTTACTTAAATGATAGGAACAAATTACTTAACGATACTTCAGCCATGTGGCAAAGTACTAAACTGAAGTTTGCTGTGGGAAATCTGAAGTTCCTTATATAGCTAAATAGTTGCTTGGCAGAAATGTTTTCGAGCTTTCCCAGTCAAATGAATCCTTTCTTTGCCTGCCAAATACTTCATAATGCCTAAACTCAGTTCCTAAAAAGTATAATGTTTGCTAGTTCAAAGAGAAAAATTACAAGGGTGCAAAGAGGAATTTGTATTTTGTTTGGAAAAATTAAAAACAAAGTCGACTAACACAGGAGAATTTCACAAAATATAGAAATTCACTATTGTCTTGATCTGTTTCCTAACTAATGCATTATTAATAAGCTGAACAAGCGTACATGCCTTCAAGATGGTAATCAAGTAGTTTCATTAACTGATCTAACTGGAAAGAGATAACTGCGTCAAAGATAAGGATTAGGAAAAATAAAATGAATGACAATAAAAACAACTGTAATTGTTGTTTATAAAATGATTAATTGTTGGAATAATCAGGCAAAGTAAATGCAGGAAAGCCTGGATCACTCCACCAGCCACTCTTGATCATCGAAGGAAAATAAAATACTTCTTTCCAAATATATTATTGCGCCATTGAAGTGTTTTATTGAACACTTTTAAAATGCTGCAATGAAATGTTTCTCTTCAAAAATGTCAAGCTATCCGCTTGCTGGTGTTTGCAAACTTTGATTCCGCCACTCTAACTGAACTGGCTATTGTATTGTGAAAAGTTCAATTTCTCCCTGGATCCGACACGATTGATGCAAATATACCCGTGATTTCTGCTTCTTTCCGTTATCAACGAGCACGACAATGCTTCTTTGCGATAAAGGCTTGAGGGCCAGGTTACGTTACAACGGTCAGGAAGTGTACTGCAGCAATTGCTTGTTTAATCCTCCGGATGGGTAAAACGGCAATGCTAAACGAGAGCTACTTTCCCATAAGAACACGTAGCAAGGGTGGTTACGTTCCTGACCTGAAATTTTCACTTTGGCAAACCCAGTCACTTCCTTGAATCTAAATGAACCCAAACCTCTCTTACTGGTTCATGATGACCAAGTAAAGTTACTGTTTCTCAATAGTTTTCAGTTTTGAATTAACCTACTCGCTACTTTCTGTTTGCAGCCTGCCACCTCTCCCAATGCACAGAACCTCCCCTCTACCGTTCAATGCCCCCGGCCCGACCCTCCAGCTCCCTCCCCGAGTTCCCTTACTCCTTTCCCCGCTGCCCCGCCTCCCTCCAAACCGCTTGCTGTCCCCTTCCTCAACATGCTGCTCGCAACTTCCTTCTACAGCTTCCTTTTGCTGTTTGCTTCGGAATCTTCGCTGAAAAGGTGTGAATGGAAGGGAGCAAGAAGGCAAATTGATACAGACAGAGGTGTAGAGCAGAAAAATGCTGGGGTGGGTCAGCTAGTGGGGGCGGGATCTAAGCTCTGCAAAGGCATCTTCGCCAGCTGTAATAAAGTGGCTGTGGCGGCAGTGCTATTGAGGAATGTTTTAATGCTTGCATAGTGAACATATTCCACATCACATGCAACCATCCTTCAAGATTCCTTGCGCATTTCAACGTTGCTGCATCTTCTGAAGTGTTTGATTTTTTTTCGCTGGTGGTGTTTCTAAATAGACAGTGAGATAAAGCAGAAATGTTAAACTTGCATTGCCTAAACTCTCCAAAGCTATTTTTGCAAAAATGCTGTTAAAGCAGAAATGTTAAACTAATTCACTTGCATTGCCTAATCCGTCCAAAGCTATTTTGGTAGATGTTTTAAGTTTCAGTTCTGTAACAGGAAATATTGCATCATTTTGGAGCAGTTTGTCAATAGGAAGCGGTACTAAAATGAAAACACTTCTTCTATTAACAACTCAGAGTCGTCCAAAATTATCTAAATCCAAGAAGATTAACCAGGAATATTTTAATTAAGTTTTCATAACTTGGCAAGAAATAGATTTTAATGCCTTTTTTGGATTGTATTGTTTGCCTTTTCCAAATGACACCTGGTTGTGATAATTCTCAAGGAATTTTGAGAGGAAGAGTGCTAAATCAAAATGACCACAATGATCCCATGATAGAGTTGTGTTCAGACTTTACATGCAGGTGCATTCCCAAATGATCTCGCTCCGTGTGCACCTTCTCTGCAACTGTAACATTATATTCCTTACTCTGTTCTATTGCCCATACGCACTTTGTATGGCGTGAACTGCCTGTACTGCACACAAAACTTTTCACTGTACCTGGGTACATATGACAATAATAAATCAAATCAAAATCAAACCAAAGAAGAAAAAGGACTTTTGATTCAATTGGTTTAATTTGTTTTATATGTTTCAAAGTGGAGCTCCAGAACAACCAATACATTCAATTCAGAGTAATACTGTTTTACTTTTCTGCTTTTTTCCCCTCTGGGTTGCCGCTTAACTCCGAGAGAGTGTGTTAGATTCACCCAGCTGTGGTGTGCAAAAAGGGAAAGCAAAATGTTGACCTTTCCAATTTGGAAAGCCAAAAGCAATAACCGGGGAATTGAGGTGTTAGTAGATGACCAATGGAATAAATATTCTTTTTGGTGCCTCAAATGAGATAACTACAAAGCAAGCAAAGTTTGCTAAACAGAGCAGGCCGTTGTGCCTCAAATGTACCCTTCTGAGTTTTGCTAGTAGGTATTATTGCAGTGGTACCTTTTTCACATGACATCATCTTTTTTATAGACCTGCTTACAAGCCCTCACTATAGTGCACCCTGATCTCACCTGACCTGTTGTACCACCAAAAAATGAAGGAAGAATGTAAAAGACTTGTTCTCATATACAATCATTGGGAATTTATATCATAGTTTGAAGTACCCCAGTCTAATATGGTGATGAGCAGTCTATAGAAGATGACTTTAAAAAGTCATGGTGCTAATAAAAAAAAAGTGACTGAGTCACAAAAGTGCTGTTTGTCTTCTGGTTCTCCTTGTGCTTTGATTGGCAAAAGTGGGCAAAAGTTTGACAGATATGGGGAAATGTGAGGTCATGCACTTAGGTACAAAGAATGGAGGAGCTGAATATTATTTAAATGAAAAAGATTGCAAAAAGTTACAGAACAGTGAGATATGGGAGTTCTTGTCCATTAATTACAAAAAGCTAGCTTCCAAGTTCAGCAGGTAATAGGGAAGGCAAATGCAATGTTGGCCTTTCTTTAGGAACATAAGACCATTCACAGCCCCTCGAGCCTGTTACACCATTCAATGAGATCATGGCTGATCTATGGCCTAACTCCCTATACCTGCCTTTAGCCCATATTCCTTAATACCTTTGCTTAACAAAAAAAATCTACCTCAGACTTAAAATTAACAACTGATCCAGCATCCACTGCCATTTGTAGAAGAGAATTTCAAACATCTACCACTCTTTGTGCATACAAGTGCTTCCTAAAATCTATCCTGAAGTCTAGCCCTAATTCTCAGACTAAACTCCATGGTTCTAGAATACCCAACCAGTGGAAGTAGTTTATCTGTGCTGTCTTTTCCTGTTAGTATCTTGAAGACTTCGATCAGATCACCTCTTAACCTTCTAAATTCTAGAGAAAACACACCAAATAATTTCAAAAAGAATGGAATATAAAAATGGGGAGGTTTTGCTAAAACTATACAAGGGTCTAATCAGTCCACAGGTGGAATACTGTGAACAGTTTTGAGACCCTTATTGAAGGAAAGATACACATCACTGGGGGCAGTGCAGAGAATGATGACTTGGTTGACACTGGAGGGAGGAGAAGCTGAGTAGATTTGACCTATATTCATTGGAACGTGGAAGAAAACTAATTGAAGCACATAAGGTTCTCAGGGGAGTTGACATGGTAGATGTGGAGAGGTTGTGCTCCTTGTGGGAGAATCTAGGACCAGAGGGCATAATCTCAGAGTGAGCTACCACACATGTAAGACAGAGATGAGAAGGAATTTATTCTCTCAGAAAGTATGGAATCTCTGGAATTCTTTAACTGCAGAAGGCTGACGTGGATGACGCATTACGCATATTCAAGGTGAGATAGACAGATTTTTAATCAGTAAGGGATTCAAGGGTTATGGAGAAGAGACAGGAAAGTGAAGTTGAGATCAGCTGTGAACTCACAGAATGGTGGAGTCGTCGGACTGAATGGCCTATTTAGTCATAGAGATGTACAGCACAGATACAAACCCTTCAGTCCAACTCATCCATGCTGACCAGATATCCTAAATTAGACTAGTCCCATTTTCCAGCATTTGGCCTATATCCCTCCAAACCCTTCCTATTCATATTCCCAAATAGATGCCTTTTTGAATTTTGTAATTATACCAGCCTCCACCACTTCCTCTGGCAATTCATTCCAGATACACACCACCCTCTGCATGAAAAATGTGCCCCGAGGTCCCTTTTAAATCTTTTCCCTCTCACTTTAAACTTATGCCCTCTAGTTTTAGACTCCCCTACCCTGGGGAAAAGACCTTGCCTATTCACCTATCCATGCCCCTCATGATTTTATAAACTTCTATAAAGACCCCTCAGCCTCAGAGAAAATAGCCACAGCCTATTCAGCTTCTCCTATAGCTCAAACGCTCCAACCCTGGCAACATCCTTGTATATCTTTTCTGAACCCTTTCAAATTTCACAACATCTTTCCTATAGCAGAGAGACCAGAATTGAACACAAACTGCCAAAAGTGGCCTAACCAATGTCCTGTACAGCCTCAACATGACCTCCCAAAACCAATACTCCATGCACTGACCAATAAAGGTTTGCATACCAAATGCCTTCTTCATTACCCTGTCTACCTGTGACTCCACTTTCAAGGAACTATGAACCTGCACTCCTACATCTATTCCTTTGTCTCATGGTCTTACACTGTTAAGGTATCAGCCTCACAGATTAACATCTGTAGTCCACTAACAATTGCTTCAATCACTTTGATAAGT